ATGTGATGTATGGTTTTGGAGTTATGAAAGTTGGGTAGAAAGTATGTTTTAACTGTATGTATAATTGAGTTTCCTCTCAGGATAAGGGGAGGGAATATGTGGGATGTAACTGTGATGTGATTGGTTGTTTTGTAACGCCCTGTGGGCTGTACTATGTTTGTGGATTGGGAATAAAAGAGACTGTATGTGACAGTACAGGGAGTTCCTGTTTTAACCCTCAAAGTGAAGTGTCGTCTCATTATTGGGGGAAGGATTTATTGTATGCTGTTCCAGTTTGACTGCTAGGAGAGTAAACCTATTCGTATGGTTCCTATTCAACTGTCTACAGCATTTATATGCTTGAGAGGATTCACATGCTTCTCCAGTTCGGTGGTTGTGGTGTCTGCTGCAGTGCTTGGAGTCCTCAGGAAGCGCTAGGAGCATCTTTTAACGGAGGTACCCAGTCGGGGTGCCAGGCGATCCGTTACACTTATTGTTCTTACTGTAAAAAAAAACCTGTTCTTTGCCTTAGAAGAAATCTCCTTTCTTCCAGCCTAAATGTGTGACCTCGTGTCCTATGTATAACCCTGTTTATGAATAGATTTCCAGGTAAAGGTTTGTACTGGCCCCGAATATATTTGTATAAAGTTATCATATCCCCTCTCAAGCGCTGTTTTTCCAAACTAAACAGATTTAATTTTTTTAACCTTTCTTCATAACTAAAATGCTCCATTCCTTTTATCAATTTTGTAGCTCGTCTCTGGACCCTCTCCAGAGCCATGATATCCTTCTTTAGAACAGGCGCCCAAAATTGCACAGCATATTCAAGGTGTGGTCTTACCAGCGATTTATAAAGAGGCAAAATTATATTTTCATCCCGAGAATTTATGCCCCTATATGAACTGTACCAGACTACAAGCAATAAATATATAACTATTCTGCAAAACATTAACACTGAGGAATCATTAGAGCAACTTAACAATGTCCAGCTTCTTAACATGGAAAGAGAAAGCTTTATCCTGCTAACTAAAGCAAAGGCAGAAGCAAAATTAAAGCAGCCACAGGACACTGTATCTCACAGATCTGTATCCACCAGACATTCTAAAAGTTCCTCTAGATCCCGAAGTTCAAGGCACTCAACGCTTAGTGAACAGCTTATAAATGCCCGTGCCGAAGCAGAGGCTAGCAAAGTACAGGCTGCATATGCTAAAAAGAGAGCAGACATGGAGGCTGAGGCTGCAGCAATGCAAGCCGAAGCGGCAGCAATGGAAGCTCAGACAGCACGTCAAAGGGCAACAATTGAAGCTTTAAAGGAACAGAGCAACTACGAGGCAGCTGAAGCAAGACAAAAGATTTTGGAACAAGCTATCGGTGCAGATGAAAATGCTAGTGAAAGGGTCAGCGTCAAGGCAGATGTGGAAGATACATTCGAACGCACTAAGAACTATGTTCTAAACCACAGCAGCGAGCACTCAATTGCCTCCATTCTGCACGACAACGCAAGGACTTCACCACACCACCAGGCAAAAGCTGTTCCAGCAACTTCCTACATATAAAAAAAAAAAAAACCCAGGTGCAGCGCCTGACTGTCATGCTGATTCTGCATATATCATAGAATTACATGCCAATCTGCAAGCAAGTCACCAACCTCCTGCTAATAGTACCGTTCCAGACTTTAACCCAACAACTCAGCTGAACACCCTTGTTGCACCATATCTTCCAAAGTCTTTTCACAACAATGCCATAAACAATGCAATCCGCAACATTCAACCAATGACCTCCTACGTAAAGTCAGAGGCAACTGATACAGCAGAGTTCGTAAAGTATATACTTCGACGAGAGCTCACCAAGTCAGGCCTAGTAAGCTTCGATGACCATCCCGAAAATTACAGAAGCTGGAAAGCTGCCTTTAAAACTACTATAGGTGATCTTGGTATTACTGCTGCTGAGGAGCTGGATCTGCTGATCAGGTGGCTTGGCCCACAATCTAAAGGAACGTGTCAAGAGCCTCAGGTCAGTCTACATCGACAATCCAACTGCAGGTCTCACCGCTGCATGGGAGCGTCTAGAACAGAGTTATGGTAGTCCTGAAGCCATAGAGAATGCATTGCTCAAACGATTGGAAAATTTCCCAACGATATCCGGTACGGACAATAAAGAGTTCCAGAGACTCAGTGACCTTCTTCTCGAAGTCCAGCTTGCCAAAACTGACCCTAAACTACCGGGCCTCAGCTACCTGAACACTGCTCGAGGAGTTAAACGTATCATTTACAAGCTTCCGTATTGCCTACGAGAAAAGTGGATCCAAATTGGGTCAAAATACAAACGGGAAAACAAGGTTTCATTTCCCCCTTTCTCCTACTTCTGTGAATTTGTCAGGAACATTGCTGACACCAAGAACGATCCTAGTTTTGCATTTGGTGAGTTCAGTACTCCCTCACTGAAAGGTGACAAGCTACATATCAGCTACAGGAACCATAGAGGTCCCGTGTCTGTTAAGAAGACAGACATTATTCCCACTCCCACCTCAGCTCCCGCCTCAAACAAGAGCGGCAAGATCGAAAACCCAAACCGATTATGTCCTATCCACAAGAAGCCACATCCCCTCAAAAAATGTATCGGCTTTAGGAAGAAGCCCCTACAAGAACGAAAGGAACTCCTAAAGACCTGTGGGTATGTTATAGGTGCTGTGCTTCCACTGATCACTTTGCCAAGGAATGTAAAATCCCTATCGAGTGCATAGAGTGCGGTTCCGAGGACCACGTGCAAGCTCTCCATCCACTTGAGTCCAATCCTTCACTACTTGCAAACCTTTCTCGCAGGCCAAATCACGACGGGAAAATTACAGATCAGGCAGCTAATCCCACCATGATATTTTTTTCATGCACGGAAGTGTGTGGGGAAGACCACCGTGACAAGTCTTGTGCTAAAATATGCCTAGTTAATGTTCACCACAAGGATCAACCAGAAAAGACTTTAAAGGTGTATGCTATCTTAGATGATCAAAGCAATCGATCACTTGCCCGATCTGAACTGTTTGATCTATTTTGCATAAGAGGAGAGGTTCATCCTTACACCTTAGGCACTTGTAGCGGCACTACAGAGGTCTTTGGAGAAGGGCACATGGATTTATTGTGTCCTCTCTAGGAGATAACTTACAATTAGACTTACCTACACTTGTAGATTGCAACCAGATACCAGCCAACAAAGAAGAAATACCTACACCAGAAGTTGCCTTCTTCCACCCTCATCTAAAGTCAATAGCAAGTGAAATCCCACCACTTGACAAAGATGCTAAAATCCTTCTTCTGCTGGGAAGAGATATTCTAAGGGTTCACAAGGTACACAGGCAGGTCAGCGGACCCACAGATGCTCCATTTGCCCAGTACCTGGACTTAGGCTGGGTCATCATAGGTAATGTCTGTATAGGCAAAATGAAAAGGCCTACTAAGATTTCTTCATTCAAGACAAACGTATTGCGGAATAGTCGTAATACTCACTTTGAGCCATGAGAAGGTAACTAGCTGCAAGATGCAACATGACAACACAAACCTTTCCCGCACATACGATGACAGGTTTGGCTCTACAGTTTTCAATACAAGCAGTGAAGACAACATGTTAGCTCCTTCAGTAGAAGACAAAGAGTTCCTTAAAGTAATGGACAACGAGTTCTTTCAGGATGATTCCAACAGTTGGGTAGCACCCCTACCCTTTCGCCTCCCGAGAGAGAAGCTACCGAACAATCTACATCAAGCCATTAAAAGATTCTCCTCCTTATAGCATACTTTAATCAGGAAACCAGAGTTGGAAAGACATTTTGTAGACTTTATCCAGAATATCTTTGATAGAGGTCATGCTGAACCCGCACCTCCACTGAAAGAAGGATAAGAATGCTCCCTTCCTTCGGTGTGTATCACCCACGAAAGCCAGACCAAATCAGAGTTGTCTTTGACTCCAGTGCCCAACATGAAGGCATCTCACTTAACAACATGCTCCCCACAGGGCCCAACTTGAACAACAGCCTGATTAGAGTCCTAATTCGTTTTAGACAAGAACCTGTTGCAGTGATGGCGGACATTCAACAAATGTTCCACTGCTTCATCGTCAAGGAAGACAACAGAAACTACCTCAGGTTCCTATGGCACAAGGACAATGACCTCAAAAGAGAGGTAATTGATTACCGAATGAGGGTGCATGTCTTTGGGAACAGCCCTTCCCCAGCTGTAGCAATCTATGGACTAAAAAGGACAGCCCAGCTTGGAGAAGCTGAGTATGGATCCGACGCTCGTCAATTTGTCGAAAGAAACTTTTACGTAGACGACGGGCTCAAATCCTTTCCTACTGCTAAAGAAGCAATTGATCTTCTCACCCGAACAAAGGAGATGCTATCCGTAGCAAACTTGAGACTCCACAAGATTATATCCAACAGCCAAGAGCTAATGAATGCATTTCACTCTGAGGACTATGCTGCCAGCGTGAAAGACCTTGACCTTGGGTCAGACATGCCTCCTTTGCAGAGAAGTCTAGGTCTGCTGTGGAACATCAAAGAAGACACATTCACCTTTCAAGTGTCAACCTGTGACAAACCTTTTACCAAGAGAGGAGTCTTGTCCATGGTGAATAGCATCTACGACCCACTGGGATTTATAGCCCCAGTCACCACCCAAGGTAAGATGCTTCTAAGACAGCTTACTACTGATAACATAGATTGGGACACTCCGTTACCCATGGAGAAACAACAAAGATGGGAGAAATGGAGAGGTTCTCTGAAGCCACTAGAACAGCTCCAAATTCCACGTTGCAATGCCCCAGTCTCCATTTCAGCCACTAAACAGAGGGAAATCCATATTTTCTCAGACGCATCAGTTGAAGCTATAGCTGCAGTGGCCTATTTGAAGACCTCAGGGATCAATGGAGACATACATTGCAATTTTGTTCTAGGCAAGGCAAAGCTAACACCAAAACCTGCACATACCATACCCAGGCTTGAACTTTGTGCAGCCGTGCTAGCCGTGGAAATAGCCGAAGTCATAAAGAGTGAAATGGACATTAAAATCGATTCCTTCACATTTTACACAGACAGTAAGATAGTGCTTGGATACATCTACAACCAAACCAAACAATTTTACGTGTACGTCAGTAATCGAGTAGAATGTATCAGAAGGTTCTCTCTGCCAAAGCAATGGCATTATATTCCCACGGACCTTAATCCTGCTGATTATGGGACAAGACCTATATCCCCAGCAGCTGTCCATGGCTGCTTGTGGCTGACGCCTCCAAGGTTTCTTCACGAAAACCCCTACTCAATTTCCACTGACGTTACCTAAGAATTGGTACTTCTTCTCCCAAGTGAGTGACTTATGCCAGGCCGTACGGTACTATGGCGGGGAGAACGCCGCTATAAGTGTTAACTACGCCACTGTTGAAGCTCCACGGCTATAAACTGCAGACTATAGGACTTTAGCCATCTGTTATTGGACTTCATGTTTTATTGTTCATTTACTGCATACCTTCTTTGTTTTGCAGGTATCTCGTATTTACGGTCTACACACCAGTATTATTTCCAATGTTTTCTTCACTTACAGGTTCGAGTTGGACTTTTAGACATTTGGACTTATCTTTATATATATATATATATAGGCTTTGAAATCTAAACATTTCAGGCGGGAAGTGTCATGTTACATGATATTGTTTTATTATAATGTACTGTTTCTTTAATGTTCATCTTAAGTTTGTCCCTTGGGCCACTCCGTAGTTTGCATGCTGCACCAGGTACTCCCCTCCCCTTTTTCTGTTCTAGTGTATTCTATGCTGTACATTCATATGTGACTTGTTTCTCTGCTATCCTGTATGGAAGAATTGTTCTTTTATCTGTCGTAACTGCACATTCTACAGATCATATGACGAATAAACACCGCCAGATCTTCTTACATGTGAGTTGTGACTGAGTAAACTATCTGGGAAGGTGATTTGGTATGGATAATCTCATCAGGGCAATGAGCGCCATGTGCTCCTGAAAAAACACATTCATAGCCTCTGCAGCCGGTCCAGAATAGCTATGGCTCTTATGCAGGAAGTCAGTCCAATTTCAGCATCAGGAATCCCATAAACAACTTAGGGGAGATCCGTGAGCGTAGTAATTAGTCAGTCCGAGTTCAGCAACAAGAATCCAATCATCAAACTTAGGGGAGGTTGTAAGCAGTCCAAGCTCAGCAACAAGGTATCTATCAAATAGGACGTAGGACAAAAGGACAGAAACTAAAGTGGAGGGAGAAAGATTATACCGCTCTGAAGTACAAAAAAAGGTACTGACATTGAACATTTAAATAACTTAACGTTACACATGGCTTTGTCTCTTAGAGAAACAGGTACTCACATAACATAAAGTGTGAAAAACCCTGCCACTGATGCGTGAGCCTGTGCATGTTTTTGGGAGTAGGAACTGTTTCCTAAATTATTGTGTAAATTATGGGATTGGAGGATGTGTGCCACAGTGAGGAAGTTCCCTTGTAGGTGGTCGCCACTGTGTGATCCATTATGGATGCAAAGTAATAGTGCGAGATATCCGTGGCTCCCAGGCCACCCATGCTTGGAGCATGCTCAGTGAAATTTGTATTGGAAGCATTACAGAAGAGATTTGGGTAGATTAATTGGCAGTGTTTGAAACAGATACAATACCAGAAGGAGAGCACTCATCTTGATGGAGTGAATTTGAGCCACCCAAGATATGTCATATTCTGTCCATTTAGACGATACTTCCTGTAGCTTAGTTAGTTAAGTGCTCGTGGTTCTCCTTAATGAAGGAGTGGATGTGTGGCAAGAACTGATCGCTGAGGTAGGTCAGGTAATTTCTGTGCTAGTCAAATTGGAAAGCGACCTGGAGGGTGGCCAGGGTAGTCCGTGGAACATGAAGTGGAAAGACCTGTGCTTTAACCATGTTATATTTGTAGAAGGACACTGTACCATGTGTTTAGGTGAGAAATCACTGTTGGAAAAGATTCTGTGGGGTCGGTGATAGTCAGGAGGATGTCACCCACAAATAAGGATATGGTCTGGTTGCCTATGTGTGGGGATACCTTTAAGTTGAGGGTCAGCTTTTAAGACATTTATTTTTTAAATCAGCAATAGAACACTTTTAAACAGTTACACAAACCAAAATAAAGCAAGAAAAACTTAGAAAAATATGTATTAAAAATGTATAAACTTAGTGTAAACTTGGTCAGATTGTATTACTGGGCACACCTCTGAACTAGGACAATTTCTTCAGCCTCCCCACCCCTCCCTTTTACCTATCCATCGCAGTTCCAGACAAGTCCAGTAATGTCTGAAACAGGACATCATTGTGCAGCAGCAAAAGAAAGAAACCCGACACCAGAGCCTGCTCTGCATCACACTGATCAGAATCCCTCTCTTCTCCCCCTGTCAGCATGATTCAAGGTGAAGAGATCTTCCAACTGCACATGTGTAAATCTGTCAGGCATGCAAATGCACTTCACCAGCATTCCTTTGGCTAGGACACTGATTGAGATTTAGAAAAAGTGGCAGAACTACCGCAGTCGTAGGGGTTGCAGCTGCGACCGGCCCATGACTCCTGGTGGCCCTGCCGACCCCTGGGCCCTGGTGTACCTGCCGGACCCACGCGTTCAAGGGGCCCATCCGGTGGCCCATGCTGTAAGTGCCATCCAATGGCAATAAATATCCAGTGAGCCCCGGTCCTCTTTAACAGCGTGACCGGGCCCTCTGTGATGACGTCAGATGCTGGGAGGAAGTGAGAGCTGTAACGGCCACCCAGAGTATCAGAGGGGTGTATGCAGTTAAAGATGTTCTTTTCCCTTAGAAAGAGCTGTGCTGCAGTATTCTCCAGATATCATCTTAGCCAATCAGGTAGTCGAATGTGTAGTAGAGCTCTTACAAGAGCTGGTGATTAGCTGTGAAGCAGGTTCCCTACAAGCACAAGACAAGGCTATTTGTTGAGGGTTAAGCAGAACTCATCTTTAATGGGCCACACTGGCCTTTAATGCAACTTTTCCCAACAAGGGTGACACCCAGGTGGACCTTGTTGGGCACAGGTACATACAGTGAACAACCAAAAAACATAGGGTCAGACAATGAGACACTCCCATACATTACACACAATCCCTCCCTTCTGCTTGGGAGATAATTGAGCTAATGAAATTTTTTTATACATTTTCAGAAATACCCTAAGTTCATATAAGAACCCCATAAAACATACATTTTCTGATAACCCCGACCTATGGAAACAACATATTTAAAAATCATCTAAATTGGTTCAGGGGTTTGAGAGTTAGATGGAAGTCCTATTTCTGTCCAGCCGCACTTGAGGCTCCTGCCCAGAATAGTTCCATGAATTCAGCTGGTGCGGCCGGTCTCTTTCGAGCAGAGTGAAATGTCGAACAATAGTTCACATAATCGTTCGTGCGTGTAATGGTCGTGTGCCGCTTCATTTGTATGTTGTTTCTCTTGAATGCCGCCACCTTTGGATGAATTAACATGAATCTAAGTGGTCCTGGAAGTCTCAGCAGTGTTCGGGCCATTGAGTGTCAGAAAATAGTTCCAGACACTTGACGACCAAACACCGCTGGATGCGTTCGACAAAAAAAGATGTCCACCGCCACGTGTTGGTGCATACGAATCGACGGCCACCCAGTGAACCACTTAGAACGTTGGGATTGCGGTTTGGCATAGTGTCAAATAATTCAATTGATGGCACACAACTGTCTTGGGTGGTCGAAACATTCGGTAAACTGTTCTGTTTACGAACAAATTAGGTACAGTTTGTTTGTTTGAATTTGTATACCGGTTTAGGTGAAGAGTATTGTAACCAAAAGTTCATAATAATAACAAAATTATAGATCCAACGAACAGGTCATCTGTTACAAGAGCCCCTGGTCACTCCAATCAGAGAGAGCCGCGCGAGAGGAATAAGAATGTTACATTGTATACAATTTTAAATAAAAAGTATACAAACATAGCCAGGATTCAGCTGTAAGCATTTGCAACACTTACAACAATCAAGTAACACACATCCATATAAAATGTAAGTTACTTTTTCAATAAATTTTTGTTTTAAAATATCCGCCTGTTTAAAATATTCATCTTCCTCAGTACAGTTTCTCTTTATTCTTAAAAATTGGCCCTTAGGTATATTACTTAACCAGGGCTTAAAATTACAGCTTTTTAGATAAATAAAACTATTTACATCTACTGTTTTAAAAAAAGTCTTACTTTTAATTTTATTGTCCTCAATATAAATTAAAAGATCTAAAAAATGTATTTGCTCTGTGCTAATTTCATAAGATAAATTAATATTAAAAGAATTATGATTAAGAGAGGCAATGAATTGCTCTAACGTCTATTGCCTCTCCATATGATAAAAACATTGTCTATATAGCATTTATAGAGGACCAGATTTGCCCCAATGTCCTTTCTGGTGAAAACAAACTTTTCCTCCCAGAAGGACATGAAGAGATTAGCATAACTTGGGGCAAATCTGGTCCCCATCGCTGTACCTTGAGTCTGAAGATAAAACTTATTGGATATCGGATACTTATCAAATAACAGGCAGATATTTGAAAACTAAAATTTCTTGAAAAAGGATATGATAAAGAACAGTTAGAAATAACTAAAAAAGAAATTGGAGAGAAAGATAGACAACCACTTTTACAGTACAAAAATAAGAGAGAAAATGGAAATGAAGAGAAGAAAAAGGGAGAAAAAATTCCTTTGAGTTTTGATTTGTCCACTAATAATTATGCATTGCAGAAAGTGGTTAAAAAACATTGGCATATCCTTAAAGAAGATCCGGACATTCTTCCTTTTTTAGACGTTCAACCAAAATTTATTTTTAGAGGAGCTAACAATCTTAAACAAGTTTTAACAAGAAGTTTCTTAGATAAAGAGAGAATAAGATTAGAAGGTAATTTCTTAAAAGGAAGTAAAGGTTTTCATTTTTGTGGTACATGTAAAGGTTGCACAGTTAGATTAAATAAAAATAGGAAGGTAGAAAGTTTCTCGTCTGCTGTCACGAAAAAAGAATATAAAATTCAATCTATCACTTGCTCAAGTAAGGATGTAATTTATATGGTGACTTGTCAATGTGGTTACCAATATGTAGGAAAGACAACACGCATTTTAAAGACAAGAATCAGAGAACATGTATATAATATTCAGAGAAAATACACTAATCATAGTGTATCAAAACATTATTCAGAAGTTCATAATGGGGACCCTAAAGGTCTAGAATTTATAGGTATTGATAAAATTAATGTTCATTGGAGAGGAGGTGATAAAGATTATTCTTTGGGATTAGCAGAGATGAGATGGATGTTCGAATTAGATACTGTAAC